TTGTAGGGGCCAGGGAGATGGCTCAGTAGAATAAGCACTTGCCTGACAAGCGCAGGGCCTGAGTTCAATCCCTGGTTCCGCAAAAAAAAAAAAAAAAAGAAAAAAAGAAAAAGTACTTTGTATCAGGACAAGGAAAATATGTCTGTTTGCTTTCCTAACCCAGAAATGTGCACGAACATAACTGTATAAGTGAGAGATAATAAATGGTAAATATAGTTGCAAAATCTGTGAATAAAAGGCACTCTGAAAGTTTGTAGGGTACATATGACCTAATTTGGGATTTAAAAGAAGACTTTTAAAAGGAAGTACTGTACTGTTTAAACTGAACTCTAAAAGAAGGGAATAGGTTAAAGAGCCTTGTGAGTAGCAAGGAGTCTGGAATTTGTGAAGCACTGATTGGAATGTTAGTAATGAGTTACATAAATGGAAGCTGACTATGGGAAGGAGCCAAATAGTGCAGAGTTCAATATTATGTTACTGAGGGTTCAGTGGCAAAGTGCTTGCCTAGCACATGAGAGGTCCTGGGTTCCATCTCTAGCTCTGGGGGAAATTACTTTAATGATTATTCCCTTTATTCTGAAAGTTAGAGGCAACAGACCAGGAATTTATAATATCAGCAGTAACAATAGCTAAAGAATATATAGGTCTTTTAAATCCTTTAATTCCCACCACCCTATGAATTATGCCAATTTTTAATCCTCATGGTATAAATGACGAACTTGAGGGACAGAGAAGTTAAATACCTTCCTCAAGGTCACACACGTAGGAAATGGGAGGGTTGAATATGTGTTATGTTACTGTGGTACACTGTCTTTCAACAGACACAGTATTTCTAGCTAAGGATTTTGTATGATTTGTAGCTGAACAATGAAAATGAAAGGATGGCATCTTTGTTACAGTGTTTCCCTAAATATGATGTCCGTGCTACTAGACAGTATGTGAATGAACACTTTATTGTAATAAATGTACATTTGCTTTGATACAGATTGATGCCTTCTTGCTTTTAAGGCATTGTTTTCTGTCCAAAGGTCAAGTACATCCTTAGTACAGCTTTTCCCTCACCTCTTACTACTAACTCCTGTCAGTTTCACCTTCCCAGGTAATTTTCAATTTTGTTTGCTTGCTTCTACTGCCACTATACTAGTTTCATATATCATAATTTTTGCTAATTGAAATAGCATTGTCACTGTTTTCCTTTGTCCTTTCATTTTTATAGCATTACAATTTTTAAACCCTTTTTTACTTTTTGAATTATTACATATTACGTAGATTAGTGGGTTTCATTTTTGGATATTCATAAATGCATATAATATACTGTCATGGTCTCCCCCCCCCCCCCCCCATGCCCTTACCCTTTTCTTCCTGCTCCAATTCTCTTCCTCTTCTCTAATAGTCTCCCTGGTCTCTGCTTCCTCTCCTCCCATCCCCCATCCCCCATTTCACTTAACATAATGGTCTTTAGTTCAATCCATCTCCCTGCAGATGATTTCATTCTTCTTTATGGACTGAGTAGTCCATTGCATATGAATACATTTTCTTCACCCATTCATCTCTTAATAGACACCTAGGCTGTTTCCATAGCTTAGTTATTGTAAATTGCTGTGCAGGAAAGAAGAATATGCAGATACGTCTGTTCTGTGTTTACTTTAAATTTTTTTGAGGATATATCGAGGAGTAATTATAGCTGGATCAAAAGATGACTCTCTGTGTGTGTGTGTGTGTGTGTGTGTGTGTGTCTATGTGCACTCATACTGCTTTCTATAATGGCTATACTAATTTACATTCCCGCCCATGTGTAGATGAGCACCCCCATCCTTAGTAGCATCTGTTTCTTTTTTGTTGTGACATTTTTAGGTACTCATGTTTATTTACATCATAAAAGGAGGGTTAGAAATTTTAGAGAACTGAGCAAAATAATTTCAGATATTTAGAGATTTTTGTGAATGGAATTTAGTCTGTAAAGGTTAACCTGACACCAACTGAAAAGATTGTGTTAGCTGTTGGTGGCCTGGTTTGATTTATTCTTCAAGAGAACAAGTACTATTTAAATGCCCTCCTACACTACTTTAGTAATTTAGTATTTTCATTAAATTTTCAGAGTTGTACAGCCATCACCATAATCAATTTTAGAATATGTCCACTTTTATCATTACTGAGACAAAAATACCTGACGCTCAAAGTTAAAGGAGGAAAAATTTATTGTAGCGCATAGTTTGTAGGAGTTTCAGTGTAGAATCAGCTGACTGGAAGGCAGGGAGGTTTGGCAGAGGGGAATCACATGCGAAAACAGCCCATAACAAAGCAGGGAAGGCAGAGAATGGCAAGAAACAAGCCATAAGCCAGTGATGGGACAGACTCTTTGCTTTCTTTTTATATTGTTTCCAGGCTTACCCTCAGGGCAGGTAGCATTCACACCCAGAACTAAATCCTACTCAGAACTATGCTAAACCAATCAGTGGACTAGTGTAGTAATCCACACACCTTGACTGCAGAATCATACACTCCGAAAAACCCTATGGATATGACTACATGAAGCCTTGGGAGGACATCTAGACAGAAACCATACTCACCCCCTGTGAAACCCAGTGCTTGTTGCTGCCCTCTGTGACATAGGCAACCACTAATTTATTTGAACCTCTGTATATTTGCCTTTTCTACACAGTTCATATAAATGAAATCATTCAACTTATGGTAAATGTGTCTGGCTTCTTTTACTTTAATACAATATTTTGATATCCATCTGCTTTCATCCAAATATCAGTGCATTGTTTATTTTCATTGCTGAATAGCATTCTGGTGGATAGATATACTGAATTTTGTTTATATCTTTTTTTAATCTCTCAGTTTTACAACCATTTAGGTTGTTATACTTATATTAACTTTCATGAACAAGTCTGTGTCTGATACAATTTTTATGTCTCAGGCGGAATGAAATTGGAGTTTTGTTAATTTTTTTAATCAGTCTGTTAAATGTTTTAAGAAAAAATCAAACTATTTGTTTCAGAGTAGCCGTTTGGTTCCCAGTTCTTCATATTCTTGTTAACACCATAATTGTCTGTTAAAAATACCAGAATCATTCTTGTTGGTGGGAAATGATACCGTGTTTTAGTTTTGGCTTGCATTTGCCTAATAACTGATGATGTTGATCATGTTTTTAAGTTCTAGTTGGCCACTTTTATGTCTGATAAAATGTTTGTTCAAATCTTCTTTCCATTTAAAAAGTGTTGTTGTCTTCATATTGATTTGTAAATGTATTACATATTTTGGGCAAAATTCATAATTGGAATGCCAGGTGTGGTGCCACATACCTGTAACCTCAGCACCTGGGAGGCTGAGGCAGGAGGGAGGGTTGCTATGAGTTTGAGGCTAGCCTGGGCTTCATCCATCCGTCTATCTATCTACCTACTTACCTACCTACCTACCTACCTACCTATCTAGATATATAAAATCTCAAAATATATGTCCTTTTTAGTACGCCACATTAAGAGATTTATGTTGTCAGTTTAGGTTCATGTAACACCTTGTTTATGGTAGTATGTTAGGTTTATTTTATCTCAAGTTACCATTTTTTTCCTTTTGTTGTTAATAAGTACTTACCTGTGGGGAGGTACCTTAATATAGTATAGCTATTCTTTTTCTCATTAGGCTTTTGTATCCTTGATGATACTTAGCTGAATCAAGTACTGCCCTAGTAGTTGCAAATAGTAGATTATTTTACATTTTTTTTTTCTAAAATTTTAGGAGTTTCAGATTTTACTGTTCTGGAAAAATTTTCTTTAACTGTTAGTAATAATTATAAAATAGTGTGTTGTTTTGTGCTATGTCATGGCTTTTTTGTGATTTTTAGGTTCATGTATTGGACAGACTGGGGAGAAGTACCAAAGATAGAACGTGCTGGAATGGATGGTTCAAGTCGTTTTGTCATAATAAATACAGAAATTTACTGGCCAAATGGACTGACTTTGGATTATGAGGAACGAAAGCTTTATTGGGCAGATGCCAAACTTAATTTCATCCACAAATCAAACCTAGATGGAACAAATCGGTAAGATTGTCATTTTTTTTTTAAATTTTAACTTAAAACTTGTTGGCTTCATTATTAAATTCAAGAAAATTCCATACTGACTTTGTACGTTAAACTGTATAGCCTAATCTGTATAGACAATTAGGAAAAAAAAGTATAGACATTTATTTTGATCGTTAAGAAAATAATTACATTTCTCATCCATGGTAGCATTTAGAATTTATGGAATGTATTTTCTGCTTTCTTACTCTGAGCTATCTTTATTTAGTGGTTCTGACTGCAGGGTTTGCCAGGCAGGGTGGCACATCCCTGTAATCCCAGCATGTGGGAGACTGAGGCAGGAGGATTGCTGTGAATTCAAGGTCAGCCTGGGCTACATAGTGAGTTCAAGGCCAGCCTGAACTACACAGCAACACCCTAGCTCTCAAAAAAAAATTAGCTCTGGGTTGTATTTCTACTCCATTCCAGAGTGCTTGAAAATGTGTGGAAATTTTAATATGATGGGAGTGCCTCTAGTATTTTAGTTTCTGGGAGACCAAGGGTGCTGACTCCATCACAGTATGCTGGCTATACAACAAAACAGAGTAGTCTCATTCAAAATTATTGTAGAACCATTGTACTGCTTATGGAAACTTTCTTGGTAAATGTCTGTATCAGGACAGGACATCTTTGTTTTCTGTGATAGTAATCCTTGAGAATGGGTAACTTACAGAAAAAAGAGATTATTTTGGCTCATGGTTTTAAAGACTAAGAGGTGCATGATTAGGTAGCCATGTGTGGTGAGGGCTTTGTGTTACAGTGTGACATGTAATGGAAGCAGTAAGTCAGAGAGGTAGCAGAAGAGAGGAAAGGGCTGAAGGAGCTAGATGCTATATAACAAACTCCTGTAGTGATAACTGATCTACTCTGTGTGCAATTACCTTGTTTGTTTTTGGTCTTTTTTTATTTTACTGTATTTTTTTGGTTGAATTGTTTTTTAGGGGAGGTTTTTTTATTTTTTGTTTTTGGTGCTGAGGACCGAACCCAGGGCTTTCAGCTTACTAGGCAAGTATTCTACTGCTGGGCCAACTCCCCAGCCCTCACTTTGAAAGTAAGGTCTCACACATATTTTAATAGCCCCATCCTGTTGATACAGTTAAATAGGCAGTTAAAGTTCAGCATGGGTTGGATGCAGATCATAGCACAAAGTCTGTAAATCAGACATGGACTTTGTTCTCAGATCATTTTTAGATTTCGAAGATACTATACTACATTTTTGTATTTGATTATGTGTATGTTCTGTTACTGGTGTTTTCTTTCTAAGAGAGACCAGAGGTGAGTCTCAGGTAGTTGAAGGATTTTTTTCAGACTGCAAACATTTAGAAATTTTCTGAACTTTGAAAAACTTAATTTAATTAAAAAGCTTTTTGTGGTGATGGACTTTTTCTTTGTGTTTGTGCCTCTTTCCTTTCCTTTCCTTTCCTTTCCTTTCCTTTCCTTTCCTTTCCTTTCCTTTCCTTTCCTTTCCTCTTTCTTTCTTTCTTTCTTTCTTTCTTTCTTTCTTTTTTTGGCAGAACCAGGGATTGAACTCAGGCCTTTGTACTTGCCAGGCAAGCGCTTATTCTACTGAGCCATCTCCCCCTGCCCTTTTTTGCCTTTTTTCAAAAAAGAGTGAAATGACTTACATCATGATGGTTTAAAATTTCAAGTGTTTCAAAAGTACATATATTATGAATATAAAAATATAGCTGTATTTCAACTTCAAATTTGGCAGTAAAGCTATAGTGAGCTCTTAGAATGAGGATATCAGAGTTCTTATACAGGACATGAGATAGCACACTAAATAGGAACAAAATTCGTTACAGTAGGGAAGAACAAAAGGGGAAGGAAAGAGGATGTTTACAGAAGAATCAGGACTTGGCTAGTGAGGTAGGTCAGTGGACTAAGCTCCTGCTTAGACAAGCGCAGGGACCAGGGCTCGATCCCCAGTGCCACAGTGTACACTGGCCCTGGGGCGCGCTGAGCCTAGAGGGAGTCTGGGTGTGGTGGCTCGCACCTGTAATCCCAGCTCTGGGAAGGCTGAAAACAGGAGAGTCTATACAAGTCTGAGGTACATAGTGAGAGCCTGTACCAAATACATAAAATGGAGAAAAAAAAAAAAAAAAAGAAAAAGAAAAAAGGAATCAAGACTAGTGAGGAGATTTCAGACACCAGGCTATCATACTTTTAATATTCTATGAGAGTTCAGGAAAATTAATATTATATACATAGACACAAGGATCAGAAAATACAAGGATAAATCCTAATCTAAAGTTATCACAAAGAGTTAGTTGTGATGATGTATGCCTGTATTCCCAGCACTCTGGGAGGTTGAGGCAGGAAGATTATAAATTAAGTCCTACACTGAACAACTTAGTAACTTAAAAGACCCTATCTCAAAGTAAAAATGGACTGGCTGAGGGTATAGCTTTATGTAGAGGCCCGGCGCTCAATTCCTAGTAAAGGTGTGGGGGGTAGGAAGGTAGTTGGGCAAAAAGGATAAGGAACAGAATCCTTATGTACAAAGCACTCCAAAGAAACATCAATAAGAGAGCTCAAATCAATGTTTAAGTTGTGCCAAATTTAGCCAGAGTCAAACACGAAAGAAAAATATGAAATTAGAAAACTTCAGCTCCTGGATGTACTTGTATGCACCCATCTTGGCTTACCTGATGGCTGGTGCCACACAAAAAGCTAAATGAGGTTTTTTTTTTGGTTTGTTTTTTTTTTGGCAGAACCAGGAATTTAACTCAGGCCCTTGCACTTGCCAGGCAAGGCAAGTGCTTATTCCACTGAGCTATCTCCCTGGGCCCCCAGTAGATTAATTTAAAGGCAGTTTTGAGCAAGTGAAAATGTTAGTGAACCTTAAGATAGGACAAGATAAATTGTAATAGACCTAGGGACACGAAGAAACAAGACCCAGAAACATGAGTAGAGCCCAGTAGGCCTGGGGACACCATTAGTGGACTAGCATGTTCACTAGTGTAAAAGAAGTATAAAAGAATGCACAGAGGATATTTGAAAAGATAATGGCTGAAAAGCTCCTCAAACTTGTAAAAGCCGTGAATATGAAGATCTCTGTCTCTGCTTGGCTCCTCATTTTGTGCTCTTCCTGGCTGCCGTAAAGTTAGCTGTTTCCTGCTACCATGCCCTTTATCTTACGGTTTTTTTCTTTGGAGCTGGCCAACCATGGACTAATATGTGAGCCAAATAACCTCTCTTTAAGTTTTGGGTGTTGGGTATTGTGTCTCAGTGACAAGGAAAGTGACAAAGATAACAGTGAAGTAATATAGTCAGAATTTTAAACAAAGGAACTATAAGCTTATAGTACTCATCTAAGTACTATAGGAGTGCCTAGTACTTCTGTGTCCAGCAGATCTTAAAAAATGAGAGAGAGCCAAGCATGGTGGTATCCACTTGTAATTCTAGCACTTGAGAGGCTGAGCCAGGAGGGTCGCAATGAGTTCACGGCCAGCTTGGACTGCATAGTGAAGCTGTGTCTCCAAAACAAAACAGAAGGCTGAACATGGTGATACATGCCTATAGTCCCAGCACTCTGAGAGGCTGAGACAAGAGGATCATGAGTTCACATCCAGCCTAAGGTGACTTAACAACATTGTATCTCAAAATTTAAAAAGGGAGCGGGGTTGTGGTATGAAGGCCCTGGATTCAGTCCTCAGTATTGACCCCCAAATAAAAATTAAAACTAAAAAAGGAATAGGTCAAGACATTTCCAAATAAACAAAGCTAAGGGAATTTTTCCAAAGTAAATTAACCATTTATCAGTAAAAACATTAGGGCTTACTGTGCATTATTGCTCTCAAAGCTCAGTAACCAGAGTGTGGCATGGCTCTTTGTAGTTGATTTAGTTTAGGCTTTTCCATTTCTTGTTGTCAATCAGCTTTTCTTTCTGTTAAGGACTCAGCTTTAGTGCTAGGTAATTTTACTAAATTATTAATTCTAAATCTCATTGTTTCCTTGGTTTCATGTTGTCCCTTAACTTTTTTGAAAGCACAAATCAGGCATGGTGACATGTGCCTACAATTTCAGCATCTTGGAAACTGAGACAGGAGCATCTAACTGTCTCAAAATATAAATATTGGCTGGTGCTGTCACTCAGTGCAAAGGTCCTAGGTTCTACTCTTAGCACTACAACAAAACAAAACTCCAATAATCGGTTTTTCTATTTCTTGGTAACTATGAATTACTTATATTTACTTAGGTTTGTATTTACATATGTATTTACTATATACATTAAACTCTGATTTCTGCTGCAGATATAATTCTATCTGGTGTGCCTATAATCCTGAGTATAATGTTGCTCAAGCTTCCCATACAAAAGACCCAGTTAGATGTTCAAGATACTAGTTAAGCCTTCTCTTCTTTTTAATTTTGGTTTGTCTTATTGGCTGTAAGAGCTTTAATATGTGTATATGTATGTATATTTCAGACACAAGTTCTGCATTGGTTATGTGATCTAGTAATGTTTTTGGTCAGTGTATACCTTACTTTATTGACTCTTGAGACATGTTTCACTGTGCAGCGTAGGCTGGTTTTGAAGCCATGGTGATCCTGTGGCCTAAGCCTCCTGGATTTCATTTTTTAGTATTAGTGAACATTACATAATGATGGGGTTTTTGTTTGGAGAGTTAATGCAATTAACCTATCTTAATTTCAACTCCTCGCCTCCTTCCTCTCCCCCCCTTACCCCTTCTGCTTAATTTAGAACTATGATTCATTTTTATTTAATTTTTGTGTCTGGTGATTGTTACACTTTTATACAATCGAAGTATTGTTTTGAGTGAATGCCATGAAAATAACTTCAATTTATATATTACAATAACTTTTAGAAGTATGATGTTAATTTATATATTACAATAATTTCAATTTAATTCTTCATAGTATATAGAATTATTTTTTATAAATAGATCTTGTATTTTACAGCTTGTTGTATGTATTAGGTTGGGGGGTTTTAAAAAAATTCTTCAGGGTATTCTATATGT